AGTTGGCCCTGCCTTCTGTTCCCTGTGGATTACTCAGGTTTCTTGACAGACTGTGCAGTGCTGTTCCCTTCCCACCTTCTTGCTGGTGCTCCTTGAAGCTCTTGGCTGAAGAAGGTGACTTTCCCTGAGAATATGCTGGTGTCCTTTTTGCTGGATCCCGGAACCATAGCCCAGTTCTTCCCGATTTTCATCTTTGGGTGCTCCCTGGTGACTGGATGCCTCTTACCTTAGGTGGTCTACTATGTTTTCTGTCATTGGGATGGAAATATTCCATGGCAAAGTCTGCTTCTTTGACCTGAATTTCACAGCTCCTGATGCCCTGGTGTATGGGAACCCAGCCTTAAAGAGGTCAGATTTTGCACAAGACAGGTACTGCAAGAACAACTTCAATTATCTCACCTCCTCCTTCGTTGTACTGATGGAGCTCACGGTGGTGAACCAGTGGCATGATATCATTTCTGGGAAGACAGTGTGACACACAGGGGATCAGCACTTTGGGTGGGTGGGGCATGTTGATAGCACTCCTAGGAAAAGGGTAGTGTCTTGGCATCTGTGCCTAAGCTCAGGGAACCCACTAAATTTTTCAGAAGTCTGGATCCTTAGCCTCCTACTTCTGGCAGATGGCTTTGCCCTGGTGACCCATCAGGTGGCAAAGCTGTACTTCATCCTGTTTCACATCGTGGTTGTCATCCTCATTGTTAAGTGAGCTTCCTCCTGCTGCCATGGGAATCTGGGATCCCTCTTCTTCAGTATCTAACTGCTGGTTTGCCTTTGTTCAGCCTTAGTGTAGGTTGTGGGAGAGCCTCATTTTCTGACAAAGGGAGAGGCCTTACTCCTGTCTGTGGTCCTCATAGTGTCCACCTATGCCTTGCACATCAGTGTGTATCACACCTATCACAGCCTCCCAAGTCACTTGGGGTAGAAGGGATTCGAGGCCCTGCCTGGTCTTTCCCACTGGGATGGGATCACCTTAAACACACCACTGTCAAACTGATGCCCAGTCTCTGCGTAAACTAACCCAACTTCTGGGACTTTTTAGAACCCATGAAAGCTGGTTACCTTTTAAATTATTTTTGTTTGGTACTTAGACTTCCATTGGGTAGAGTGAAAATATGCCATGAGGGTCCAGGAGGATGGGACTGTGGTCTTAAGGGTTCCAATGGGATGGAACATGACCCCGGTGGGTTTCAGTGGGATGGTCACCATGACACTGGTGGATTCACTCCACTGTTTCCAGGTCTGTCTTGTCTCTTTCTTTGAAAGGTGCTGTGACACCCTACCTCTCAAAAGGCTCTCCTCTCAGCTGGAGCCTCTAGCTTTCACTCCCCAGTTCTTGTGTGGCCTGCATTTGAATCCCTGTGCCCACTATGGTTCTCTTCCACAGAGCTGTCTGTAGGCCAACCCCATCTCAGAGCCTGGGCCTGGGTTATTGAGTTGATTGCCCAGCACCAGTGGGCCCTTGACACCTCCCGTCTCATATGACATCCCACTTTCTGCTGGAGGTTCCAGAGATGTCTTGATTAGAGGACAGAAGAGCCTGGTGGGAACCTGGCCAGACTTGTGTGTCCCATGTGGTCTGAGTGGAACACTTGGGGAAGAGGGTGAGCTACACCAAGTGACTCATAGAGAGACTACTGGAGTGCCAGCCTGGACCAAGGTATGAGGCTTCTTCCCTCTGCTAAAGGACTTGTGAGTGTCTGACAGCCCTGACTGTGTCTTCATTATGGGCAAGTCAGAAAAGGTCAAGAGTTTACCCTACTGCAAGCTAATGGACTGGCCTGGGCTACTGCACTACACACTGACACGAAAGATCTTGGAGATCTGGGGTCAGAGACAAAGACAGTTTGCTATTTGTGGTTAGAGCACCAGCCAAAGAATCACTGTATCAGTTCCCTGAGTCAGTCTCTAACCCAGAGAGGCCAGAGCTAGAGGAAGCAACTGTCAAAATGGGAAGCTCCGGCCCTAGTGAAGGCTGCCCTTCCTCTGGGGAGGAGAGTTCATCTTTACTCTGGCTTTCAACTTGGGGATGGAACCCAGGGCCTTGCACATATCCCGCAGATGGTCTACACTGAGCTTCATTCCCAGCCTCTCAGGTTTACTCTGGAGTGGAAGTGTCCTCACTCCTGGGAGGGGAAGGTGAGGGGTTTTATCTTTGCCACTGCAGGCTGCACTGAGTGGGGCGATCTCTGGGCATCTCTCTCCTGGAATCCTCCCCTACACCCAAAGACAAACATTCCTCAGTTGGTCCGAAATGCCTTTGTCCAAAGGCCCTGGCTTCAGACACCTGAAATAGTCATGGAACAGTCTCACTCAGCAATGGGCCCAAGATGCTTCTTAGAACAGAGTGCATTGTCTTCTCCACATTCACTGCTGGATTTTTCTAGTGAAACCTATGCAGTCCCTTCTGGCCAGGCAGCAACAGATCACCCTGAACGCCCCCTCCCGCTCACAGTATTTTCATAGCATTCATCTTGGAAGCTGCCTTTGTGGCATATTAGAAAAAAGTGAAATTGAAACTGCCATTGAGAAGACGATTCAAGAGCTTGGAGTGGGGATCCAAGAGCGAGTAGCCTGTTGCTTTGATAACGCTGACTTTGAAGTGGGATGGAAGGGAGACATGCTGTATTGAACCTGGCTGTACCCTGTGAGCTCAGCCCTGTCCTGCCTACTGTTGGGCAGCCCCTCAGGATGTATGCTCTGGATGTGGTGGGACAGTGATCATAGGAACATGTCTGGGAGGCCATGTGAGGGACTCTGTGGGTCATGACCATGTTCCTGTTCTCTCTTCCTCCTTGAAGGGAAGATGTGCAAGACCAGAAGCTCAATGATAACGCAGACGCCAGGGACAGTGGCCTTGGTGGGAAGGATGGAGACAGCAGAAGGGAAGCCATGAAAGGGCTATACTTCAGAATTGCATCAAAAAGTACGTGGTCACCCAGTGCAGAACCAGAACTAACCTTTCTCCAGACAACCACCTCCTGGTGGCCAGAGAGATGATTCCAAAATACAGAGCTGGACTTCGTTCTGTTCTTATCAGTCAAGGATAAAGACCGGGCTCCTTGCCTCTGTGAACTTGGTGTGTCTCCATGTCTGTCTCTGCTCCCTCCCACCCAGCCATCACCTGTGTTGCCCCTCAGTCCCACTAGCCTTTCAGCTCCTCCATCCTGTTGTGGACCTTTGAAGATCTTGCTGACCCTCTCGCCCAGCACTTTCCAGGAAGTCCCTGAGCTTGAGGCCAGGTGCTCTGTGAGGCTTCCTACTTTGCTTTCCCCTCTTTCTTCACATGGCTGGGGCACCTGCATCTCTCAGTGATGGCTTTGGTCCTAAACTATCTTCCTTACAGCTTCAAAACTCCCTATGTGCGAGGCTGTGGCTTTGTTGTCTCTAAATTATCTGCAGGGCCTAACAGTGCATTTGACATAGGTACCCTTAGCAAGTCTTTACGTTAAAAAGTCTTTACTTTTGTGTATGTGTGCGTGCACAAGTGCACATGCGCACACCATGGCACACATGTGGAGGTCAGAAGACAACTTGGAGTTGGTTCTCTCCTTCCACCATGTGGGTCCCAGAGGTTGAACTTGTCATCAGGCTTGGTGGCAAGCACCTATACCTGCTGAGCCAGCTCTCCAGCCATTAATGAAACTTTTAAAAAATTACTTCATTAGGGGCTGTAGAAATGGGTCAGTAGGTAAGATCACTTGCTGTCCTTCCAGAGGCCCTGAGTTCAGATCCTAACACCCACACTGGGTGACTCACAACACCTGGAACTCCAGCTCCAGGGGATTTGACGCCCCTGTCTCACCTCCATGGGCACCCTCATGCATACAAACACAAGAAAATAAATTTAAAAGTAAAATTATTTCATCAATTACTTCTCAGACTTTTGGCTGAGATCACGGGTAAAAATCACTTCATCCTTTTGCAATGGTTTAATGATTGTGTGCTCCCAGTTTGGGTTCTGGCAACAAGAGCAGTCTGAGGAGTGGAGCATGGATCCCAGGAGCAGCCCCGAGGCATGGCTGTCCTCCCTCATCTCGTAAGAAGGGCCTTCTTGGTCTTCATGGCTGGAGGACTCTGTGGAGTCCATATTAGGGCAGATTAGTGATTCTGCCAACTTCATCCTTCCTGTCACAATGCTGGGCTACAAAGCTCAGGGCTTTGCCTTCAATTCAGGGGCCATCCCAGAGGACAGTGCTGGCCTGTCAGGCTGTGTGCCCCACGAGCCTCAACACAGATGGATTCCATGTGTCTCTCCTTCATTTTAGAGTACAGGACTGTGGACGCCTTGCCACAGCAGATGTTTGAGTCTGAAATAGCTCCCGACAGGGAAGGCCCTTCCTGGGATGAGATTCTGAACCTCTCACCTAGTGACATATATCCCAAGAATCCCAGTTTTGAAAACTGCATGATTCTGGGCTTGCAAGGATTCACAACTGGAAACCAAGAGAAGCTGCCATCTTTCTTTCCATATGCTAGGCTGGAGATGATTCTTCCAGCCCCCACTCTCTTCTGTGCTCGAGTCTGTGACTGGCCTCACCTGTCCTGAGGGCACAGCTGCTCTTCTGCACCCCACCAGGGATTGTTCTTAGAGCTGTTGATGGAAGTCAAGTCAAGGAAGCTGATGGAGACGGGGTTGTCCTTCAGCTGGCAGTGCTTGCCTAGCACATGAAGCTCTGGGCTCTAGCTCCAGCACTGCATAAATCATGGGTTGGGGTACACCTGTGTAAATCCCAGCACTCTGGAGGTGGAGGCAGGACATCCCAGGTCATCCTCAGCTACACAGCAAGTTTGAGGCTAGTCTGGGATGAGACCTTGTCAACCCCCTGCCACCCACACAAACAGAATGGAATGATTATTCTATACATGTGTGAAGTGGGTTTATAGACTTTTCATTTATTTTTATATGGTATTTTGCTGTTCTGTCAAAACACAGTGCTACAATGTTACAAGAATGAATTATGCATTTTCAAATGTGGAAAAGGAATAGATTCTAGTAAAGTAGCTTCAATGTGAAGAGAAATATGAATGTGAAAATGTTATAAGTTTTCCTTGGGGGCAGTGGGACTGTGTTCTGAAAGCCTCTTTAATTCAGCTATAATTATAGCAAGATTTTGAGTAAACCATTCGTTGAGGACAGTTTTCTGGATTTAATCTGAAACAGTGGTGACATGTCTCTTCTGGGAATTTTAGAGATTTATTTAATTAAACATTTTAATCATGGTAAAATCTGAACAGAATGAAATTCACGGTCTTAGAGCTGGCATGATAGTGCATGTTCTGTAATCCTAGCACCTAGGAGGTAGAAACAGTAAAATTAGTTCAAGGTCATACTCAGCTAGTAATTTTGAGGCAGTGTGGGTTGAGACCCTATCTACCTACCATCCTTCCATACTTCATTTCTTGTGTATCTAATATAATTTTTGTTTTGTTTTGAGACAAGGTAGCCTAGGCTGGCCTTGGAATGACATAGTCCAAGATGGCTTTGAACACGTGGCAGTCCTGGGATTACAGGCATAAGATACTATTCTTGGCTAATATCTATAATTTTGTAAAAAAAATATATATATTAGCATGAATTGAATGAAATGCCTGAATTGAATTATGGTTTTTAAAATTTGACATATAAAGAGCATTTCTTTTAGTTTACAGGTTATTTATTGTCTTAAGGAATTCAATGCAGTGATATGGTAAAAAATTACCCTTAAATATCTGCATTCTTCCCTTCTCACCCCTTTCATTTTCTCACTCAGTTTGATCATTTTTCCCAGTGGTTTCTGCTTAAGTTTGTTATCCATCCTCTGGAACTAATTTACAGCCATGTGGATTGTGTATATTAACATGTAACTGTTTTAAGTGGGTGCCGTATTTCATGTTTTCATATATATTACTCATCCTGCCCTTTCCACTTGCCAATTGTTATTATTGCTACACACACAACCAAGCCTTCCATTCCCAGCCATGTTTCGTGGTTTAAGAAGTCACCTATTGTGCACGTATATGCTGTTTCACATGGTCAGCATTTGGTAGTAATGGAGTAAACCTTGTTATACAGGTTTTATCAGGTGGGAGCCCTTCAGCAGGGGTTTGAGTCAGAAACTGTTCTGACTGGCTCCACCAGGGGGCATCCTACTCCAGCCATTGCTTACAAGCTTGCATAGAGGGGATGCTGTGCAAGGAACTGCCCTTTCACCAGCTATCTCAAGCTTTTCAGTAAACCAGTCTCTATGGGTTATAGAATTAGGAGTCTAGCTGGGCCCTATTTCCCAGAGGGCTGGGCAGAATGGCTATACAGGTCTGTGGGCTGCGCTTGGCCATCTCCCTCTTTGCATTGCTTTGCCAGCTGGGGAGTAGCAACAAGCAGACCATGGAAACCTCCTCTGAGCATGGCACATCAGTGCCAGTGCAGTATAGCTCAGTCCAAGACTGTTCTGGAAGAAATGACTCTCATCTTCTTCCACTGTGTGTTGTTTTAGTAGTTTAGCCTAACCAATCCAGGAATGGATCTGCGTTTAACATTTCACAATGGGACAAATAAGAAAGACACGCTGGACTTGAAGGATGAGAGAAAAGAAGAAATAAGGACACGGACTCCTAGGCTATGTGCAGAGAAAGATGTGGAAGGAAGCTTTTCAGGTGTGCTTATGTCTCTGCCAAATGCCCAACCATCTCAGTTCTGATGGTCAAAGCCCACATTTTTGCTTTTCCATCAGGAATGTCTCAGAGGGAAAAAGATGTC